AATAACCCCAAAATCGAAGTTACTTCTGATAATCAGAGATTTTGTTTTAAGCCCGTGTATAAAATAAAAGATGGCAAGTCACTTCTGCGCTTATTAAAACAACATGATCTCAAAGGTTTGGGTGGAATTCTTCTTGACGATGTTCAAGAGTCATTGCCACATTGTGAAAAAGTTTTAAGAAATCGTGCCAATGAAATTATATTTATAACGCGTGCAATGGATAAAAAGAAAGTGCTTTATTATAATGATCGCACAGCTAATTTCACAGTAAATTTTTACTACAATTATTTTATTATGGCAATATTTATATCCTTGTATGTTTTTTCTAAAGGTTGATGAAGAGTTCCAAAAATTATGGCGTTCGGCTACCGTTGATGCGATGGAAGATAGTAAAATCGATGAGTACTTAGAAAAGCAAGGTAAATTCTATACAGTGAATGAATGCTTTGTATTTTTATTAAAAAACACTACACGAATACACTAAATAATAACACACTATATTATATAGATATAATATAGTGTGTTTTCATAAAATCAAACATTTAAAAGTTTTTGATGTTTCCGACGTGAGCAATACATTACGATATAGTACTGTTTACTGTCGTTCACTGGTGCTCATATAATAATAATATATAGTATACATATAATATAATATATAGTATATATAATAAAATATATAGTATATATTTATCTGACTTTGTGTATCATCGAGTTTTACTTTTATTTATTTACAGGAATACGGTCAATGCAAGATCATGGACCGAAGAAGCCAGTTCCAAAACGTAAAAAAGTTCCAATCAAGAAACGTCAATTCAAGAAACCAAGAGATAATGAGCATTTAGCAGATGTATTGGAAAACTATGAGGATAACACTTTGACAACAAAAGGTGTAAATCCTCCTTAAAATAGTGTAATTATGTAATTAATTAAGTAATAATAACAACAATATAATAATAAAGTAATCAAATAAAATAATAATGAAATAATAATAAAGCAAGAATAATATAATAATAATAAATTAATAACCAAATAATAATAACGAAATAATAATAATAACGAAACAATAATAAAAAATTTATAAAATTATAATGAAAATATAATAATAATAAAATAATTATAATGAAATAATAAAATACAATAATGAAATAATAATAAAACAATAATAAAATAATAATAAAATAAAAATAATAATAAGAATAAAATAAAAATAATAATGAAACAATAGTAATAATAAAACAATAATAAAATAATAATAATAAAAGAATAATATTAATTAAATAATAATAAATGTAAGTAATGAACATAGATAATAAATATTAATAATACATATAAATAATGAACATAAATATTAAATATTTATAACAAATGTGGATAATAAATATAAATAAATATAAAAATAAATAAGTAATACATATAATTATTAAATATAAATAATAAATAAATTATATTATAAGTTATATTATTATATAAGTTATAATACCCCCGCTTGGGTACTTTTAATTTAAATCATAAATAAATAATATAAAAACGCAATTAGTAACAGACAAATACGAAAACTGAATATAATGCATACTGGCAAAAATTTTTTTTGTTATGTTTTCTTGAATATAAGAAAGTAATAAATTAGTCTACATGAAGTGGTGGAAATTTACATTATTACGTAAATTGAATGTTCGATATATTCCACGTAAAACTAAAATAATCAATGATATGTATAAAAGGTTTTATTTATGTTTTTTCACATGCCTCAACACTGTGACTAAATTTACTATTATAGCAAATAACTACCATATGCCTGCGCACGATTAATGAAATGCAGTTATTCTAAGAAAGATTATTGTTTAATAACTATATTATTAAGATTTTCGAAATTGTAATTCAATTTATGATTTGTTTATGATAAAATTTATAATTTAAGTTATGTATAGAAAAAGAATCCTGGCAGGTATAAAAGTAAACTTCATAAATATGGCATTTACAATAAATTTCCACGAAATATTATTGCAAATTCAAAGAATATAAAGAATGAATAAATAAAAATATACAAATAAAATCTTTTATACAAATCAATATTAGTTTTTAGTGAAACTCTTGCTCTACCAAAATTATTAATCCAATTTAATATAAACACCGATTTAGTATAAACATAACATTAATAATTTCGTCAGCGCATTTTTTTTACATTATTCACTTTTACGTTTACTTTGTCTACAGTTTTAATACTAATTCTTATACTTAAAAATACTGTATCTATAAGCGTATATTTTTATTACACATATTTTTTATATAGGAAACTATGCACAGAGTGCTTAATTTGTAAGAAGTGTAAGAATAAGAATAAATATACAATATTTTAATAAAATGTTAGAAGATAAAATATTTTTGTTCATTTAAATATTATTGAGTGTATATCTGTTAAATGGGTTTTAAAAAATTTATAATTTTCAATAAGTGATTACAGAAGATTTATATTATTAAATGGGTACACTATATGGTAAACCACAACTCTGGTTCGGTCTATTATGTTAACGTCTATATCTTCCCCGATCATTAGACTTTTGATAAACTTGAGTACATTTAAACATGTTCTTTTGTTCCAAATGTTGTGAGTAGCGAAATGTCTGGAATGATAAGTTTTTTGTTGTGCAGGTTTGGGATTTCTTAATCAATGTGTGTAGACTTTTCAACCGCTATGGTTGGCAAATACTAGTCTCTGAAATGTCTATAATATTCATTTCACAAATGGGGCAAATATAAGTCTCTGTAATGTTTATTCATTGTCATTGAGACGTTATCTCACTCTGTAGTGCCTTATCAGAAACCCGGTAAGAATTCTGTTATTCTTTTCACTCAGTGCAAGGAGACTATTAAGGACAGTCTTAGTGGTGTTGATGAATCTAAGCCAGTCTTTTACCTTTATAGTAAGGGATTCCTTACAATATCTGAGTTTTTATTTTCATTATGTGTAATGCTGTCAGAATACACCGTTGAAATATAGAAACCGAAGAACAGGGTTGACTGAAACATGAAACATATAACAATCTTCATTCAACATAAACCGAAGAAAGTAAAACAGTATAGGTAATTAAATTCATTTTAAAAGCTGGGGAACTATTGTCATGTATGTATTTATATTACACAATTCTACGAATTACTGAATGGTGTGATACTTTTATTTTCTTTCATTTTAAATTATTAATGTTCATTTAGTTATTTCTTTTAAAGTATAGTAAATCTAATTATTGCAACTAATAACTACTATTCATTCAATAGTGTTTACAAAAAAAAGCGAAGGGTGACACCTTCTCAACGTTCAGAGGCTTTAAATAGGGCTCTGTATATGCTCCAGTATTCTTTCCATTCGAAGGTAGCTAGTTGTTGTTGTTGTAACCCTGGCTGTAAAATCCCTAAATGTCATCGAAATTTATGAGTAGCTCAGGGACGTTGATCTGACCGTTCTTGGAACCAAGGTAGACTGTAGTCAAATTTGGTTTCTATGTTTGCTACTGCAGTAGTCCATTGTGCAATGAAACTTAATGTTTATAATTTCAACTAAGTCCAACATTTTTTAAATATTGGTAAACTACTTTGCTGACCAAATGTTTCTGTTAGGACTAAAATAAAATTAGAAATAATGTACTCGTAGCATTGTATTTCAGTGCAAATAATCAAACATTCAAGGTTTGATAAATCCCTGACTTGGTGCAGAATTGAACCTTAGCGCTACCAACTAGAGCTGGAACTCTAAGGAATGCTTATAACTTTAGTCCTAAGACAGATCCACTAGCATTTTTAAATGTTTTTTGAAGGCCTTTTTTATTAACTAATACATACCTGGATTTGAAACCAAATCTTGCCCGCTGTTGTTTCAGCAAGCTTTCACCTTGCTTTTAGCGCAATCTGGATTAGTGCTGTTCGTATTCGATGCCGTTCATATTCAGTGCTGTTCATATTCGGTTTTACGTAGTATTCGGAGAACTCGATTAATCGGATAGTATATATAGATAAATAATAAATATAGATAGATAATAATAAAAATATGTTTATAAAGGCTTAAATATTGTTAAAATCTTACATATATTTATAGATTTTATTTTATGGACGTGTGCGAGTTAGGCTAAGTTGATGCTAAACCAAATGGAAGAATTTTTGGGATTTTTTGCACTGCACACATTTTGCCATTTATCAACACGTATCGACACATCAATACATTATCGACACCACTTAGAATTTCCCTCATTTAGAACGCAACTTAGCCTAACTCGCACACGACCTTAGCCTAACTCGCACACGCCCCTAGTAATGTATAAAAAAAACTTTGTGATTTTTTCATGTTGGCAACCACTGAACGTACTTCGTGTATTATTCGTTGTATATTCTCAAAGTAATGAATTTTGCAAAACGAACTAAAAATTTAAAGATTCATGAGAATGTCAAAAATCTATTTACAACTTAGTACTTATATTTAATGTGTAAAATATATTTTAATAAAAACTTAAAACATGTTGAAATAAAATATTCATATAAATAAAAAATCCCTAAATAAACAATAAGTTATTTTTAGCTGCGTTTCAGCAAACATGATCCGCTCAATGATCTGTTTCATCTTTGCTGAAACGATACGGAGCACGTTTGAAAATAATTGGCAACGCATGAAATATGCCAGTTGGGTTTGTGCACAAAATTTTTTGATTTATGTGAATAATTTTGGCGCTAAAAAAATAAGTGAGAAAATTTTGAATACAAAAAATCTAAAAAAATGGAAAATAAATAAAATCTGTTGAAATGTCTGAAGTATGAAATATAAGTTGTTATTTAGTATTTACTTAAAAACTTAAATTTAATTCTATAGTAAATAAATGAAAATTGCAGATGTTATTAGAATCATCGAGCAAAACTGACTCTTCCATTCCCTTTTTACTAGTTCAAGTGTATTAAGCTCAAGGGATGAGTGTATCAGCATAGATATAAAGGAAGTTTTGTGGAAACGATCAATAATTTTTTCGTTAAAGATTATTTGATTGGTATTTGCGTATAAAAAATACAATTGCTATATATTAATTATGTTTCATATTTTAATAGATTTGTTAATAAATTCCAATCAGCAAATGCAAAATAACCGTGATGATCACAATCGGACGAGAGCAATGAAGGAATTTTATATATTTTTGTGGTATATGGAAAATATGAATACTTTTTGCGAATTTGGTATTTGTTATGGCATACCAAGAGCTTCTGTATGGAGAATAATTGAAAAAACTAGTGTTTAGCTTATATCAGTTGGACACTAATTTAAAATACGCACTTGCTAATAATGCAAAAATGGAAGCTTCGAAAAAATTCCCGTTCGTAATTGGTTGCATAGACAGTACAATTCTAAAAATAAATGCACCAAACCATAGCAAATAGGCTTATTTCAAAAGAAAGCATGACTATGGCTTAATCTTGCAGGCAGTTTGCGATGAAAATGATTTTTTTATAAACGTGTATGTTGGAGAGCCTGGTTTCTTATGTATTGTTCTGTTTTAATTAAATAAATGTATTTAACTTAATTTTTATATATTCATTTCAAATTAATTGATATTAATAAATTATCAAACAACACTTTTTCAATAATAATAAAACGTAAATAATTAAAGTAATAATTTTAATTACATTGATAATTAGAACGTTACTTTAAACAAAGAAATAAATAATAATGACATATTAATTAAATAAGTACATAAAATAAATAATAAATAAATAAAATCAATAGTAAATAAATATAAATGTAGATTTGTTTAAAATTTTACTGCACCGTGCATCGCATTGCCAACCTTATTTGCATTAAAATACGTTCCACTTTTATCTTTTACATACATTCCACATTGAGCCAGAAAGTGAACCAGATCAATTGCTGGTTCACCCCATCGTTTTTGTTTTGCATGTAAAATTGAGCGGATCATGTTTGCTGAAACG